ATTTCATATAACTTTTGACTGAAGCCTTAAATGGTCAAAATATTCTAAATGTCCAACAAAATTGTGAGATTATGCAAACGTGAGATAAATTGTGAAATGGAATTTATTTTTTCTACAATTTTTACACTTTTTCTTCTGATATTATAGCACAATCCCAAATCACAGGAGCAATCTCATTTCACCACCGGCTTTTCATTTTTCATTAAAATGAACACAAGCATAATCAGCTTAGTTGTTTCTGCTTGAATGAACTTTTTCACCACGACAGTTAAGAGCTGGAAATCTTTCTATTTCTCGAAACTGGAGAAATGATGCAATGTTCGCACACGAGATTTTCCCGGTGAAGTTTTCTTACTAAAAAATATCACCATGTAGCTCGAGAAGACCACCACAACATCCGACATACTTGAAAGAGATCACGACTGCACCATATATAGTTGTTGAAAACGAGTGAACCAAAATGAGCGAGTCTGGAGAACTCAACAAGGTCGCAATTTGATCATATCCCTATCATCTCCTCAATTTCAACGTCTACACCAATCCCATCACCTTTCATCCTATCCAAAATCGATCCTATATCCTTCCCCGCTCTTAAACCTGCTTTAATCAATGCACAATACATCTCTCTATTCACGGGGACCACTGCCGAAACTGACCGCACGAAAGCATCCACCTCTTCATACTCCTCTTCATCACCAAGCCAGCTCAACAACTCTGCGATTAAACCGGGCTTCGGCCGCCATTTCAAGTTACGTTCTTTCGCACCCACAGCTTCCTTCACGCACTCAAATGCCTTCCTGAAATTACCCTCATCCAAATACCCTGCACCAATAATACCCCAACTGTTGGGAGTCGGTCTTTCCCCCTTCTCCATGATATCTCGAAGCATAATTTCAGCCTTCTCGACCAAACCCTTCTGACAATACCCAATTAAAAGCGTATTCGGTACTCTAAAGTCATAGGTGTGGCAACAAGACTCCCATTCCTTCAAAACCACCTCAGCTGCGTCAAACTCCCCAAGCTTCAAAAGACAACCGAGCATATTTATATAATCCCAATTGTTCTGCTTTTTACACACCCTCTTTTGCAAAGCCCACAATCTCAACATCTCATCCTTGTTCCCGAGATGCGCATAGAGCGAAATCAAGTGATTGTAGCCCAAAGCATCTTTATCGAGACCTGCTTCCAACTTCTTCATGTAGGCAAGGGCTTTTTCTTCCCGCCCGTTTTTTATCAACTGATAGGCCACAACAGAGCACGTGGACCAGTCTATGTCCACATCAGCCTGCAGCTCCATTTCATCTAAAAGCTTCTCCATGGAGTCCACATCTGATTTTTCACCGAATGAGCTTATGCATATTCTGTAGGAGAAGTTATTGGGGGAGATACCATTTTTCTTCATTTCCGAGAGAGTCTCGACAATCTTGTCGAGTTTCCCTTCCTTCTTGTAGAGGGCCATGAGATTGTTGTAGGTGAGGGTTGATGAGCTGTACCCGAGCTCTTTCATGGCATGCATGTGGTCAAGCGCTTTGGTCAGGAGGCCTTGTCTCACATAGCAGTTGAGGAGGGCCCCATACGTCTTCTCGTTTTTGTATTGCTCGTTTAGGTTAGCGAAGTAGCCTTCGGCAGATTCCCAGCCTTGGACAACACCGATTAGATCCAAATGCACGGCAAAATCGCCCGATATAAATTTAAATGCATGATTGGAACTGATCCACTCCGAAATCTGAAACCCACAAATTCAAATCTTTTCGTAATTTGGAAATAACAATTTCTGATTGCTTCCATGATCTTAAGAAACAATGTGAAGTTTTTAAGGATGAGGAAAGCTAACGGCAAAAGCTTAGCATTTGCACAATTGAAGCTGAAACTTGTAAAGTACAGCTTCAAACGAAATAGAAAAAAAAGAAAATGACAACAATCTCCAAACTATATCAATTTAGATCAATACATAGAATTACGAAAGCCAAACCTTAAGAGCCTGAGAGAAACGGCGGCGGCTCCGGAGGTGGCGAATAATGGGTCTGAGCTCGAGAGGGTGGACATGTCTGCCCTCGGCCACCCACTCGTCGAGAACCCGAACGACGTCGTTATCCTTTCTGACGGAATTGATCCTGGAGAACAAATTTCTGGCCCTCGACGCCGAGTATTTTGGCGCATTGGCACTGGGAATTAAATCTGCTTGGGCTGCTAAGGCGCAAGAGAAGGATTTTCTAAACGCGATGATGTTTGTTGAGCGCGAGCATAATAATCTGTTTAAGGCTGCCGACATTGATGACTTGGTGAGGGTAATTGATTGTGAGCAGGTTTGAGACACGGGACTGAATTGTAGAGCTCCCCCTCTGGGTTCGGGGTTTTATGGCAAGGGCACTCTACCATTTTAGGAAGACTAGTAAAGTGCACGTGCGATGCACGTAGTGTCGAATGATTTTCGCGGAGTAAGTTTGTAAAATAAATTAATTTATTTATTAAACATATCATTACATAAATAAAGTAAAATATGGAAAAAATGAACTCATATGTGATTTTTTTATTTATAATTAATATAATGATGTCCTCATATAAAAATAGTGAAATAACGTTTTACAAACCCCAACAAAAATATATATAAAAAAACAAATTCCTAATAATAAAACACAAAAATTTTCTTTCATTTTAGTTTTAACGTTCTCATAAGAACATTCATAGTCGTCGTAGTCCAATACATCAATACTATTGCAAAATTCTTCTTAATTAGTTTGACAAAACGCCAATTTTATTCAAACATTTAAGAAACATTCTAACCTAACATATTGTCAAACTTCATGATCGTATGATCTTTATAACAAGGTACTTCTACTAACAAATGATAAGTATCTCTATGAAATAACTAACGGTGTCACTAAAATTGCTGATATTTTTTTTATCACTGTATAAACTACTACATTCCTCTATCTCTAGATATATTGGTGTCTACCCCATTGATGCATCGTTCCACGAGGTGGGAATGAATTTTATCTCCAAATAAAAGTTGACTTTCCAAAATCTTGGTTACATGTACTTCTCCCGAGGTGCTAAATTATTTTTTGAAATCATCATACATTACCTGAAAGTACCTCTAAAGTAATTGCACATATGTTCAAGCACAATACATCAATGAGATTATAAATATTTCTATAAAAAGTGACAACTTAATTCTAACATTCAAAATTGCTTTATACTCATTTCATTTTCAGTGTTATTTATCTAGAATATAGACGAACAATATATTTTATTTTTTGCAATGATAAAACAAAACAATGAGAAAATATTGAGAAACATATCATTTGTTAAAATATTTGACAACAGGAGAATTAGAATTCCATTATATGACGATACTTTTAGTCATTTGTAAAATTTATTGTTATGGAGTCATGATTAAAATATGCATCATGTATACAAATTTTTAGATTTTTTAATTATTTAAAATTGCAAATAAATAATATATGATCATTATTTATGAGAACCAATTTCTTACAGAGTAGCAACAAAAAAGTAGTAATTTTAAAAGACTTTTTGTTTGTAAATATTGGTATTCATACTTTTCTAAGAAAATTAGCGTGTTTTCTTTTTCTCATTGCATTACTATTATATTATTTATTTCTTATTCTATAGACAAATAATATTTTATTTGCTAAGTAACTAAAGCATTTATACGTATTATGTTATTTTTTGTATGTGTTTTATATAATGATGTTATCCAATTATCTTATTTATTTGGCTACAATTAATATAATCACATAAGACTAAATGTAATTTAATATATTTGATAAAATTGTACTTTTTATCTCGTCCCCAAAAATTTTCCCCACCTCGTTTCTTCAGATTCACCGCCGTCAGCCTTCCATAGTGGCCATCGAGCTGCGTCGGCCGTCGTCGGCCCTTGATAGTTTGGCTTCTACCCCCTATTTTCCGCTCTACCATCTGCTATCCATGGAGTCAGGCTTCATCTATGGTGTTAGGGTTGCGTCTTCTACGGCAACGGCTCGTCAATTCGGGGTGATGGCTCCTCTGTTGGGTGGTGGTGGAGCCGTGGTGCGGTTCCGGGGGTGGAATGCGACTCAATTCAGCGACCTTCCTGGTCGTGCGATTGGGGTGTTGCTGATGGTTTTGGTCATCTTCTCTTATCTTTTGGTAGGGGTCGGCGTGTCCATTCTTTTACCGGTGGTGTCGGTCGGAGTAGGAACGCTGCGGTGCGGTAGCTTTGGGCATCTTCCATGCTGTCTCGGGTTGGGGCTGGGGCCGCGGCACTCTTGTGTCCGTTCGGGGCATTCGGGTCCTGTGGCCGTGGTGCGGGGTGGCTTCGTGTTGTTCCATCGTTAGGGATTCGACTCCGTTAGGCAACCGTGTGGTTTGGGCAGTTTCGGGGTCGGTTCTTCTGGTTTCGAGATTCTCAGTCGCCTTGTTTCCGCTGGCTCGGCTAGGTGTGTTACTTGGAAGGGCTTGTTTAGTTTAGTTGCCTGTGTTCTCATTTTTTTGGTAGTTTTGTGTTTGTTTGCTTTTTTGGTTGTGTTGGTTAGTTTGTGTGTTTCAATTTTTGTTTGTTTTTGAGTCTATGCGTGATTTTTGGTCTTGTTTTTTAGGTTTGGGCCGTTGGTCCCAGTACCGATTCCCCTGTGGGGGGCGTTTCTATTCTCCTGTGGGGAGCGACCGTAGTTGGTGTGTTAGTGTCTTCTAGTTGTGTGTTGTGTGTTTTCTATTCTAGCGTGGCTAGCGAGGCTCTAGGCGGTCTTTCAATCCGTCCTCTCAGTTTCTAGTTCCAGGTTGTAATATTCAGCCTTGGGATGCTTTTGCACAGTTGTGCGTTTTGATATATAATATTTCTATCGTTTCGAAAAAAAAAATATACTTTTTATACGAATTATTAGATTAACAAGTTTTAGAATTTTTTCCAATGTTTGATAAAATATTAATTAACTAAGTCATTTTCATAATCACTGAATACATATATGGTACCACCATTATAGGGTTCATTTTGCAGCAGTAATTGACTTCACATAGCTAATGTTATTTCATTTTCTTTCTCTGGCCTAGCCTTTCTTTTTATCTATGACTTCACATTGCTTCGCTTCATTTGTACCCTAGTTTCAGCATTACGACAAACTCGTGTCAAACATATATCGGATTTGGGCGCTCTAGCCAAAACGTGGGAACAATTAGAAGTTTACACCCAGTTTTTTACTTTTTTTTTTCTAATATGAATTGTTTCAAATTTATGTATGGAAAACATAGCACAAGTTTATCTTATGTTATTTTATACTTAATAAAATTGATTTAACTATATTTGTATATCCTATATTGTATTATATTTAATTATAATTTTTTAATTAAATATTTACAATTCATAAATTCATTAATAATATTGTCGAGTCAACTTTTGTTCATAAAATTTTTAAAAATATATTATTTCCATTGATTTGCTTATGTTGAATTGAGAAAAGTTATGTTTTTTTAATTATATATAGGGAGGATATAAGATTTCTTTTATTTTTTATGTAGTATTTATTGAGTAATTGTGTTTACAATTTTTCTATTAAAAATATATTAAACACGTGAACTTTTTCATTCCTATAATTTTTTTTTTTAGAAATCATTCATTATTTTATTCCAAGATTACCTATTAATTTACCAATTGAGTTATATTTCTTACATATTAAATATCATATAATTAAAATACTTATTGTTTTATCTGTTCAATATGATACTTATATATTATATTAAAAAAATTAATATAGTAAATAAAAAAGTTATTTCAAATTAGAATAATAAAGTTTTTTTTTTCTAATCTACATGTATAAATGTACAAATAACTATTGTCTATCACCTCAAATTTACACATAAAATTAATAAGAATAAAAAACTAACAAGCGTTTAACAACTCAATTTGATTACATCAATAAGTATATTTTTAGAAGGTTTATATTTAGTAATATTAATTATATTCTTTTTGTTTATTAGTTTGTTTTATATTTATTAGTACGTGTCACAACTTAGTTATTATTCATATTATTTCTTATTTTTAATATTTTTTTAAACCTTATCTTGTTCTTTCACATGTTCTTAACTGTAGATTTGTCAAAAAAGACATAATATAAAGTATAGAATTTTTTTCGATCATCTGCCTCATTATATATCAAATATTTGTATATCCTATATTATATTATATTTAATTATAATTTTTTAATTAATATTTTAATTAAATATTTACAATTCATAAATTTATTAATATTGTCGAGTCAACTTTTGTTCATCAAATTTTTAAAGATAAATTATTTTCATTGATTGCTTATGTTGAATTGAGAAAAGTTATGCTTTTTAATTACATATACGGAGGATATAAGATGTCTTATATTTTTTATGTAGTATTTATTGAGTAATTGTGTTTACAATTTTCTAATAAAAATATATTAAACACGTGAACTTCTTAGTTCCTATAATTTTTTTTCATAAATCACTCATTATTGTATCCCAAGATTACCTATTAATTTACCAATTGAGTTACAATTCTTACATATTAAATATTATATAGTTAAAATATTTCTTGTTTTATCAGTTCAATATGATACTTATATATTATATTAAAAAAACTAATATAGTAAATAAAAAAGTTATTTAAAATTAGAATAATAAAGATTTTTTTTTAATCTACATGTATAAATGTACAAATAACTATTGTCTATCACCTCAAATTTACACATAAAATTAATAAGAACAAAAAACTAACAAGCATTTAACAACTCAGTTCTAGTTTTCTGCTGTGTTTTTTGTTTGTGTTGTTTTATGTATCCGTGTTTGGTGTGGGTTTAGTTTTGTTTCTTTGGTTTGGGTCATTTGGCCCCTGTTAGAGGGATTACTCCGTTGGAGTCGTTCCGCAATATCTCGTTGGGGGTCGTTCCACATCACCTCGTTGGAGGTCGTTCCATAGTTAGGGCTTTGTGTTTGTGTTGTTTGAGTTTCTTTCTAGCGTTGCTAGTTGGGTTCTAGGCGGTCTTATGACCTGTCTTCCCAGTTTTATTCAGCTGTTGGCTGTATTATTCAGCTAGGGGCTGTGTACTTTGCACGTTTGTGCGTTTTTGTTATATATATTATTTTCTATCGTTTCGGAAAAAAAAAAAACAACTCAGTTCGATTACATCGATAAATATATTTTTAGAAGGTTTATATTTAGATATATATTAATTATATTATTTTTTTTATTAGTTTGTTTTATATTTATTAGTACGTGTCACGACTTAGTTATTATTCATATTATTT